GCCATTTTCACTAGCAGTGTTTAATTTTATCTAAGAAAAATAGAGAATGATGAAAGTTGACAGTGCTCTTGCTTCTTATATCTTCTTTCCAGGATAATGCCATTACCTTTATTAGCAACCTAATTTAAAGGGTTATTGTGGAACTAGTTACTGGAGTAGAAAGTTAAGGAGCAGGTGAATCTATTACATGATCTAATACTTGTCTGTAATGCCTGCATGCATTTCCGTTGGACCGTAGGAAATGAGCGTGATAAAGAATGTGGGGAGCAGAGAGCTTGCTGGCAGACTCGTTGCCAAGTTCTCTTTTCAAGGTTTTGCAAGCTGTATAAATGTGTTAGGAAAGAATGGATTCGTAAGTGAGAGCTCATAAATTCCTGACCTCTTTCACCCTTGCACCCAGAGCTGACAAGTACCTCACTGTGAATGTGAATTTGCTTGTTTCTTTTCATGACCAGACTTACAGAAGATTCAGCCCTACTCCATTTATATAAATATTATTGGTTTGCTTTCCTGGCTTGTGTGACACTGAAACAGATCTCATTAAGGAGTGGGCTTTCTGTAGCATTTGAAGACTTTTTCAGTCTTCTACCAATAGTGGTTGCTGCTCCAATCTTACCAGGTTTGTTCATGCAACTCTGACTTTGTTAGCTGGTCCGAGGGGGGAGGACTGTGCTACTGTATGTAGGTCCGAAGAGGAGAGTTGAAATCACATTGCCATAAGTCAGCTTGCCTCTCGGGATGCTGTGGGCTCCCACTGTTGTCTTCTGTATGATGTGACCCACACTTGGTTGTTCCAGTGGTGGAAGGAGCTTCACTCGGCTCCTGCTGGAGTTGGTCTCTCATGGGGGACGCTGGTTTGGATGATCGTTGTTAATCCCAGCGGCTGGGCAACACCTTTGCAACGCGTGCAGCAAGGCTCGTAGGGACCTTGTATATCTGTATGGTTCTGGCTTTGCATTGTGGCTGTGGGTGAGGGGGTGATGTTCCTGGTGGGTACAAAGGTAGTGATGCTCTGCCTCTGGGACAACAGACTTCAAGTACTTCCCAAGTCTCTGCAGATTTTTAAGAGCATCAACATGGTCATAATGAGGCAGTTGAGAATTTTTCAACACCACATTAATAGGGAAGCAAATAATTGCTTCTTAAGAAGCTTTTGATAAAAGATACAAAAAAAAAGGGCAATGTATTATTTGGGTATCTCTTTCTAAATATGTTTTTTTAAAAAGGCCTAGTTCTGTGATGCTTTAAAGCACAGCAAAGCTTTGTTACATCGAGTAGTTTTTCTGTAAATACAGGGCCTGGAGATGAAGAACAACTGGTAAATGGCTCTGTTAAAAACCAGTGAACATACATTTTGTTTTGTGGTGGTGTCTCGTAATCCTAAGTAGTTTTTCTTAATATTTCAGAGTGTGAAGCTGTGTGGTGAAAACATTGCTGTTTTGTTATCCGCTGCTGCGGCTCGGCTGGGCAGGGATGGTGCTGTGCTGTGTCGTGTGGGCTGTTGTCCTTGCGCTCGTGGAAGGACAGAGTCCTGCGGGGTTCTGCGGAGGCATCTTCTGGCAGAGAGCACCACGGTTCCAGCTGGGCACAGGGCCTGGGGTCACTGCGTGATGGGCAGAGCGATGCTTTAGCTTCAGGAACTGAAGACAGATATGGTTGCTGACGTGCTGCTGCCTTTTTCATAGAATCTTTTGGACTTTTTTTTTTTTGCTGTTTTTTTTTTTTTTTTTTTTTTTTTCACTGAAACGCTGAAATTTGTTTAGAACCTTTTTTTGAATGCTAGGTATATTTTAACAGGCTCTTTTGACAGGAGGTGAAGTGATAAAGGTACTCAAAAAGAAAGGTTTAGTGAGGATGATGCAGATGGTACTTCTGATGCAGACTTTCTCCGTGCTCATCCACGGAGTCTGTGTACCTTGGGTAGCAAAGAAAAAGAACAATTTATATCAACTTAAAAGTCTGGGTCAGTTCTGTTTTACTTCATGTACTATCTCATCAGGCTCCAGCTGCAGCAACACCCACTGTGCTCGCTTACAGCTGTGGCTTGGGAGGGGACTCGAGGTGAACACTCCTCCTGGACAGGGGTGCGTGGAAGGAGGGTCTGGGACCCTCGTGCCTGTTTGGCAGCTGTGGGGTTTTGCTTTCAGTGGTTGTCTCTGGATTTTAGCCCAGAGGGTAGGGTTGATATGAAAGGGAACAAATGCTTCTCTGTTCCAGTATGTGGGCTGGCAGATATTGGTGCCTCTTGGGCTGGACTCGAGTGAGTCTAGCGGGTGTCTTAATGCATCAGATTTCTTGGAAGCGTAAGAGGACTTGGCGTTTTGCATGTCATCTTAGTGGTGCCTGTGTCTGTCCGACAGCCAGGTTGGAGCTGTGGCAGCTGACAGTGCTCAGAAGCTGCAGGTAGGAGAGCGGAGCTGATGCCCGGCGGGGCGATGCGATGCAGTGCACGTGCTGTGACTGTGCCCAGAGCCTGCCCATCCCCAGCCGGGCGTGCAGCACGGGACGTCTGGCATCTCCTCCCCAGGGCAGATGTACCACGCAGGCAGAGGATGGTTCACGCACCTCCACTTCTATCTTGGGCTCTTACAGGACTCCCAAGCGTGCTGCTACATCAGAGCAGGGTCCTACAGGTACACTTCGGGGTTGGTTTGCCCTCACAGCCTTACCAGGCAGGCAACAGGGTTGATACGCTTTAAGTTGGCACCTTTCAGACTACATAAGTCTGCAGCCGTTGTGACAAGCAAGCTCACAACGCTGCCGGTGCTGCTTCTCATCTTTAATGGCAGCAGCAGCAGCAGCTTAAAATGCCCTAATGTGTGTGAGCACGTCTGGTCTTGCTGCCTTCAGCATGCTGGAGCGAATGATCCTGCTGTTTGCATGAAGAAGGTTTGGATGAAGGTTTGAAGAACAAATAGATGACTGTTTCTAATTCTAATTTATATTGTTTCCTGCGAAGCTGTCCCCTCTGCAGGGGAAACACGGTAGAGCCATAACAGGAACAAGCAAACATCCCGCGCTTCCTGGTGACTGTAATGACTCTGCTGACTTGAAATGCATCATTGCTTCAGTCTATCGCTAGCTGACTTTTATCTAGGGTGTTTTTTACTGTTAATGATTAGACATTAAACAGTTCCCTCTAGAAACAAGCTATGCAGCTACTTGCCCTCACAGAGCTTCCAGCATCTGTTTTAGTGCTGTTACCATGAAAACAGGCCGAGCACCAGCAGCAGCCCTGTTATTGCCCTCTGGCCCCTTGCAGCACCAGCCATAGTTACGCGATTGTTTTTATCACACCTTAAAGGAAACCCAAGCTTGCAAAAGCTTTACCTGAAATAATAATGTTCATATCCTCTATTCCCTTTGTGCTTTCTTCCATTAAATGTCCAAACATGAATTGGATGTTTCCTTTCTAATAGCTAGAGAGGATTTCATGTCAGTCAAGCCTTGAAGGGATCTCAGTAGCCTTCTGTTTGTGGGGGTTGGCTGACTGTTGGAAATGCTGAGATGACTGCCTGTCACCATGAATTAAATACTAAAGTCACATCTGGAGCTTTGGACGCAATGTAATGCAAACATAAATGTGACTAGGATATTTACCTTTAAGTCAATGACAAATCTTGCCTGACATCGGTGGAACCAGGGTTTTATCAGAGGTGTTTTCAAAGGTATAAATTAAATATTGTGAAGGTTCTTGAAGAAGGGTTTATTAATAAACCATGGTGCTGTAACTGGGTCCTGGGCACATGTGCACCCCAAGTTCTGTTTTTTGTTGTGTTTAAAAAAAAAAAAACAAAACAAACAAAAAAATCAAAACAAACAAACAAAAAAAAACACAAAAAGACCCAGAAACTGTTGAGATTTAAGACTTGGGCTGTGTGTGTGAAGGTAGCGTTATGGCTGTGGCTGCAGTGAGGATGTGGGGGGAAGTGTTGGGATCTTTGCACAGCCACTTTTGTGCCATCACTTACACCCTGCTGGGTGGTATTTATGGGGCCCAGGGCTCCTTAGATCCAGCTTGGTAAACCCATACCTAAGATTTCCTTGGTTTCCTTCTGGTTCTTGTGTGATGGGTCCAAATTCTGCATTTTCTTTTGCAGATTTCATTATCTGCTGCTTGACAAAGAAATACAATGCAGCAATTTTCCTAACCTCAATAGTGGTTCTGAATGACTGTATTTCCAGCTCCCCTGTAACTTACTTGTACTTAATTTAAGTGTGTGGGCTTTTTAATTTGATCGTTGTGGGGAGGAACAAAAAATGAAATGCAGCAGATATGCCTTCCTCTTCCCTTTCTTTAGTTAAATCTGTCTTTGTCATTCTTTTTCTCTTTGACTTCCATGAGTTGCTCAGGCTATTTTTCTCTAGTATCTTTTGTTGTAGCTTCTATATCGCAGTCTTACATCTTTAGAAATATATAATGCATGTATGTGACTGCTTCCTTGCCTTCACAGCATTATTGTTGTCAGCATATGACAAATAATACGTGATTGATGGCTGACTAAGCATTCTGAATATTTCTTCATTCTTTGTGTGCCTAATGATATTTTTTTCTTGTGCATAGGGAGGCTTGAGTGGATGGCATCTCTTGTGCCGATGGAGCCATCTTCAGACTCAGATAGGAAATTGCACTGAGCACAAACAGGTCCTTTGCCTCCGTGGCAGGAGTCAGCCTTAAAGCTGGCTGAGCATCATAGCTGCGAAGCTGCTAATCATGGAATCCATGTGACATGGCCCTCATACCTATTGGGTGACTTTAAATAGTTCTGTAATAGCCAAGCCTAGGCTGGCTTCAAGCAGGGAGAGAATCGTGCCTGTGTCTGTCAGTGTAAAAAGGGTCTTTGTAGCCATATGGCGACAATGTCTGCCTTCATTAAATGAAAAAAAAAAAAGGTGTGAGGTGCTTCAGCTGCTTGGATCAAAGCCTGATGCTCAGAGTAGCAGGCCTTCCCTGCAGGAACATTTTAATTGCTGAAAACTCTCTCCATTCCCTTTTTTAGGAGAGCTGACCCTTTTCAAGCCAGAGAGCGCATCTGCCTTTGTGCTGAAGAAGGTGCTGTGAACACTCTCTGACCAGGTATGTTTATGCAGCAGTATACCACAAAGCCATCCAAACCATCTCTCCTGCCTCACAGTTAATTTTTCACATCTTTGTATCCTTGGTTCCCCAAATCAGGGATATCTTATGAGGCGAGTAGGTGAATGTGCTAGCAGCACGCTCAAAGTCCACTTAGAGACATTTTGACCAAGGTAAGTGTCTAAAATTGCCCCAAGGTCACACAAAGGTAACATATAGCTGCTGCCTATAATTTGGAATGGTTTTTCTGAATTACATCACTTGGAGGTGATGACTGTTACCATATCCCAGTATCACTGCTCTTTAGATGTGATAATATTCTCCAGGGTTGACACAGTTGTGCCGTGCATTATCTGCCATGCAAGTCCAGGTGAAAAGATTTAAGTTTTGATAGGATGATATAAAGGTACCTTCAAGGTTATTAATCAAAACAGATTTACCTTAAACGCAGCTTTTCCCAAAGGCACTCACACTTCCATCCTCCGAGCAATATATCAGGCAGGAGAACGTTAGCAGAGTTGCTTGTTGCCGTAGATTTTTCCTCTTGGGCAGAAATAATTTTTTGAGATGCCAACAGCGTGTTGGTCTTCAGTGTCCTTCCGTGGGGCTGATTTTGGAGTCCCCAAAAGAGGGCAGTGTGTCCCTGGCAGCTGGACCACACAGCAGCGGCTGCCAGGCACACACCGCCGCTTCTGCTCGTCATCTGAGAAACAGCATTGGTCTCCCGAACGCTGAGAGAGCATAAGTCCTTGAAACCATTTGAAATGAGTAATTGACTGGCAGACTCATTAGCAAATGTATTGGGAGCTGTGTATCATCATGTGACTGTTGGTCCTTTCCCCAAACTGTGGCAGGGATATACAGCAGCGTTTCCTCTTGTCTCACTTTCCTAAAAAATGTCCCGTCTGTCCCAGTTGCACTGTTTTGCCCTACTTTTTGCACTTGGTGTCTCCTCCAAGAGGGGAATGATGTTTGTGGGATCAGCGTAGAGCTTTGCTGTGAGTCAGAGTCAACTGGAGACTTAATTCAAAGCATAAGGGATTGGGGAGAAAAACAAAAAAAGGAAAACTAATGGAGGTTGTTATATTGTAATATTTTGCCTTAGGGCACCAAACAGGAAATGCTTAAGCCAGTCTCCATCTGAAAAGCAAATCTTTATTTACTAAAGAAGTATATTTTTATTGAAGTATGGAAGCATGCATCTCTCCCCAGCCCAGAGTGCTTTTTTTTCCTTTTTAAGCTGTTGCTGCAGAAGGGCCTGTGAACGAGTTGTCGCTGCTAGGTTTGGCTTTTGTTTTCAGGACCCCTTTGTGAACCCTCCTGTTTCATTCAGCTCTGCATGGTGAATAACCAGCAGTTCTCTGCTACCAGTCAGGACTCCCACAGCACCAATCTGTTACTTAGGAAGCAGTTTTTAATCCTGTCAATTTTTGCCCAGTTCTTAAAGTTCCGTGAAGGCGCCTTTATTGGTGACTTACATCTTGCAGAAATGATGCTGCCCTGGCCTAGTAATCACTGAGCTGTCAAGAGCACCCTGTTTCCCAGGGTTCATTAAGGCATTTAGGTTTCTTACTAATTGTCTGTATAAAATTGCCTCGTAGCCCCTAGAAGATAGGGCACTTGTATGACTTGAAAGTACATTGAAATAACCTCAGAAGTTGCTTTGAGATAAAAAGGCATCCCAGGAGAAACATACACATTTAAAATAAAACTATTAACCTTGCTTCTAAATCCCTCCTCAAGACGTGCTTCTCCTTTCCCTTCTTGCTTTCTGTAACGGCAGAATGAAGTGAACTTTACCCATCTGGTAGGAAAGGGGGGGAAGATCCCCTCCCTTGGGAGTGCTTTATTGCTAGCTTGGAAGCAATGCTAGTTTATCATCATTTTTTTGTGTGTGATTTTTTTAGTGATTTGAAGTCAATAGCCTGTTGATGGTTAGTATTTGTTTTAATGGAACAGTTGCTGAATTGTCAGTGCAGCCTATGAAAGCGGCTATACTTTACACCGTTCAGCTGCTTCTCATAATATTTAAAAGCAAATGCCTGTGCATTTTTATAATGGCACTTTAAGAATTATAAACCTCAGCATCCCATCTGTGTTTCACTCTGGTATTTACAGTGTAATGAATTCTCCCTTGCTGCTTCAGCTGGATACTCTTTCACCTCCTCTTCCTGTTTCAAGCAGTTGTTAAGTGGTGTACATTTTAAAATTCCTCCAATTTTTAGGAGGTTGTCAGCAACATAAAAGAGCTTCTTGTATTGCTTATTTGCCTGGCAGAGGCATTGAGCTAATCTAATTATGTTAAACCTAAGCATCTGTAGAGTAAAGAAGTGTATTGTCACTGGTTTGATCTGTTTATAACAGCTGGAGGCATTTGATAAAACCGGAAGATTTTTTTTTTATTAAAAATAAACTTTATCTATAAACATTTTTTTGCTGCAGACATACAGATTTTTTTATTGCTATTCTCAATCTATCCTCTAGAAGGAAGAAAGGGGGATTTTTTTGGATGAAAGTAAGTTGCAAAGTCCAGAAACATACCTAGCGTATCTCCTAGCAAAAGAAGGCTGTTGCTATAGCACATTTTTGTTCCATTAGTGTTTGTACATTTTTAACTTTAATTTTCCAAACAGCTTCAGGAAATTGGCATCCCATAAGTAAAATTTTTAAAAATAGCTTTGTTACTGCTGAAATAAGTCCTGTTATTTCCATGGTCTGTTGTCCTGAGTACATTACTGGCTCTCTAAAACCTTGGAAGTGTTTAACAAGATACAGCTAAGAAGAGTTGTAACCCCAAATATTTACTGAGGAATTAGTTTGTCCCATTTCTTTAAAGAATGAACTCTTGCAAATGGAATGCTGCTGTCTGCAAGGTTTATTTTAAACTTTTTCCTCTTTTGCTCAGAGGAAAAACAAAGCTTGAGTAGGAATGCATGATTGTGTAGTAATTGTTCTTCTGAGACCCCCCGACTGCTCAGAGCCCACTCTGCTCGCTGCAGAAAGGCTGGGTAGGTAAAGAGGGTACCATGCTGTGCTGCTCCGGGCTGCCCATCCTCGTTCACCTCTGCTCCTTTTCTTTAGATCGATGAGTGTTTAAGGCATTTCACACTTAAACTTCAGTTATGAGTTACTCGTTATGTACAGGGCTGCGTGGTCTAGAGTTGCACTTTCCCTAACGTGAAACGGCTTGTGGGTAGATGCCTTTGTGCGCGACGCTGGGGTGCTGGGCTGCTCTCTGTCCTGCAGCAGCACAGCTGCTGGCTACACTTCCCACTGCTCTGCTTGGAGACCCCGCAGGAGCTGAGCTTCACGGGAGCAGCTGCTGGTCAGACTTTGCCTCTGGAGGGACTTTAAAGTGACAAGTGGAGTAGCAGGGGCCTTGTCAAATGGTTTCTGTGGCTTTTGAGCTTGCAGCATAGATCCCTTGAGGTGTCAAGCACTGCAGGACACAGGGAAGGCCCTTTTTGCTTGCCTCTCCTCCAAGCCTTCCCTTTTTAGGACTTAAAAAATGTTCCAGAGCAAGCTGCCAGAACAGACTTCCTAGCAACTTCACAATTAGTGATTTGCTTCCAAAAGCAAATGTGCACTGGCTGTGGCAGCTGTTACTTAGCAAAAATCCTGGTCAGTGTGCTGGAAAAAGGCAGGAGTTCTGTGGACAAGGAAAAAAGGATCTGCTCATCCCTTGGAGGAATTAATGGGAAAAAGTTAAACTTTACAAGCTGTCCCTTTACCATGGATGTTTTGCATTGGTTGTCCAGGTGCAGTTATTTGATAATGATTTACTATTTATAGGTATATATTTTTAGAGAAATTACAAAGTCTACCTCTGGACCAAGATCTTTTGCCTATTATTAGAGTGCTAAGTAGCAGAATTAAGCCAGCTGTTGGTTATCCCATTAAGGTTATCTAATAACGAGTGTGACCTGAGTGACTTCACCTTCAGCAATGGGTCTCTCTCCCTCTAACTTCACTAATGCCAGCACCTGAACTTCTGGCCTGGGTTTGCACTCGTGCCATGCTGCAGAGCAGGTCGTTACCTCGTGTAATTGCAGTGCTGCTCTGAATCACAGTCTTGTGGGGATGCATCTGGGTGTCAGTTACCTGCTGGTCAGCAGTACCTGCCAGTGATGCTTTAATTTATCCCTGTGGTACGGCATGTAACAGTTCCCAAGTTCCTTGATTGGGGATCCATCAGGCATCTTAAAAGGAGCCTTTTGCCACTTGACAGCTTCATTTTCCATGAGCTGTTCTGTGTTACCTCACGGCACCGAATGAGGTCGTGTTGTCTGCTGGGCCAGGGAGGCCCGAGCTCCGCTGGACCACGCTGCTCCGAGCACAGCAGGGCTCCTGTTGGGAATGGGAATGTCGAGGTTGTGCTGCACAAACAGTACACTGACTGACTCTGCTTTTTCTAAAATGCACGGGCTTTTCAGTGCTTGGAATCTCTGAACTCCGGCAGCAAAATGAGCAGACTGCAGGCTGGAGTTAGTCTTTAGAGCCTGTGCAAATGCAGTTTTTTCTCGTTCTCTCTTTAAAACCCCACATCAGTTTGTCAAGACCTTCAGTTGCAAAGGTGGTAGGGTTGGTGTCTTGTTCACTGTATGAATGCCATGTCTTTGACATTTACACTTTGTCATGTATTGAAGCATTCTTTAAAAATTTTAAGGACTAGTAGCACGATCAGCAGTCACTTGCTACAGAAGGATGAGTTTTTGAATCTTGTATTCCTAAATTCTCCCTGATCTTTTCATAGAATGTCTTATTAATCAGAGAATCATGGAACAGTTGGAAGGGACCTTAAAGTCCCTCCAGTCCCACCCCCTGCCCCGGGCAGGGCCCCCTCCCCCCAGCCCAAGGTGCTCCCAGCCCTGTCCAACCTGGCCTTGAACCCTTCCAGGGAGGGGGCAGCCACAGCTGTTCTGGGCACCCTGGGCCAGCACCTTACCCCCCGCACAGGGAAGAATTTCTTCCTTCTATCTAATCAAAATCTCCTCTCTTCCAGTTTAAACCCGTCACCCCTTGTCCCACCCCCTGACCCAGAGTCCCTCCCCCCCTTTCCTGCCCCCCCTTTAAGCCCTGGGAGGCCGCTCAAAGGTTTCCCTGGAGCCTTCTCTTCTCCAGGCTGAACCCCCCCAACTCTCTCAGCCTGGCCTCCCAGGGGAGCTGCTCCAGCCCCCCGAGCATCTTCATGGCCTCCTCTGGACTCCCTCCAACAGGCCTGTGTCCTTCTGATGTTGGAATATAATCACAGTTGGAATAGTTGATAGCATCAGCCTCCTGCCCACTCCACAATCTGCCGGATCTTGGAGTGTCCAAGGGAAGTATAGCAAGTTCCTCCTGCCAGTGAGCTGGCTGGTCCTGGTGGAAAGGCTCTTCTGCAGAGGCAGCCTCCCATGGAGTTCCTGGCACCACAGGCCTTCTGGTGGGCTGGAAGGGACGATCTGGCTTCCTTTGAGCCTTGCCCTGACTTTGAGGGAACGTTGGCAGCTGCAGGCTCCAGCCCTGGGAGATGCTTTGCATTACCAACTGTTGCTGCTTCCAGTTAGTTCAGAAAGGAATTCCCCTCCTTGCTGCCCACACCCATTTCAAGGTATTTCTTAAAGTGCTGGTACTTGCATTGCTAGCTGCTTGCATGTTCACAGAGCACGCTTGATCAAGGGGTTCTGGCCTGCACCATAAACAGCGTATAGTTCAGGAAGGGCCAAATACGACCAGGTGACAAATTCCCATGATGAGTAGCTGTTTCTAATGAGAATGGTAGAGCCGCCCCGAGTCTTGCACGACGACTTTTAGTTTCTTTGTTGAGGCCTTGTTGCCAGCAAGTGCTGGTGTGCAATATCCGCCTGGAGGAAATTGCAGCCTGCTTATCAGCTGTGTAGGAAATGGTACAAGTGGGAGACAGGGGAGTGTCGGTGCACGGAGAGGTATGTGTGAAGCAGTGAATGCTGTACTTAAGGTACCGGGGGCCAGCTGACTTACTGAAGACCTTTCACCAGCCGGGAAGCGCCGGCCGGCGTAGCTTGATGAATGGCAGCAGGACTGTGTCCAGTTCACCTCCTTGGCTCTAGTGCTCTTGTTTTCGATGTCGGTAAACAGGAGTGTGTGCAGTCACGCTTCACCCCGCGAGCTCGGTCACGCTGCTGGATATCATGTTCTTTACCTTTGCACTGGGAGAAGCGTGGAAGGAAGGAGGGGGCAGAGTTTATTCCAGCACACTGAGGTCAGGCTTGTTTTCCCTCTTTGAGCAAGAACAGGCCAGCCCCTGGAGTCAGATTCTGCAAGCCTGTAAACAAAAGGCTCGTTTCTGCGGAAAGCCAAAGATGGTAGTGTATTCATCTGGAAAGTTGCTGGGTTGTTTTTTCCCTGCTGCAAGCTGTTCCTTGTGTATTAACTTCCAGTTCAAAAGTCTGTGCAGGAGAAATGCTGCTGATGTTCATCAGGCATAGTTTGGGGTGTTTGCAGCACTGGCGCGGATTGCAAACTGGGAGAGAGGGAAGCTGGGAGGAGCCCAGGCAGGAGGCTTCTCCTGCAGCAGTGCTGGCCCATTCAGAATTTGACTCCAGCCTAGCAGGTAGCCTTCTAGCAAAGAGCCTGCCTACAAGCTTATCTCCTGCCCAACTTACTTTGCAGAGGCCATAAACCAGTACTGCAGAGATGGACTGGCTGGGGTGACAAGGGGTTAAACGTTCATGTCAAAATTGTAGGGGTGTCCAGGGAGGGTGATGCTCCTGGTGGTGTTATTCCCACCTGCTCAGGGACTGCCTTCAGCTGCAGAGACTTCTGCTGTGGTTCTGGAATAGTCCTGAAATAGTGCCTGCAAAAGACCTAAACAGCTCTTAAAATGATGACTGATTTTAAAAAAAAAAAAAAAAAAAAAAAGAAAATTAAAATTGGCAGTCCAGAAGTCTCTGTGATTTTTAAAACAAAAGGAAAGAAAAAGCAATTGAGACAGGTACATTGACAATGTTCAGGGAAGAACAATACAAATAAAAATAAAGAATGTGTGTATTGTCATTTCAGGTTTTCACTTTAGTTACAGCTTCAAGACTTCATTTAGTCAAAAGGCAGATTGGGTTTTGGGTGGCTTCACTTTGAATGAGACATTGAGTTCTCTCCTGCAGTTTGGAGGTGGTGGCTGATTCCTGTAGCAGCTTGGCATTTATCAGCTCTTACAGAGCACCAGAGGCACTTAAACAACTGCACATACTTCACGGGGCCAAGCTACTTACTATTTAAATCTGTTTGCAATTTAGAAGCTGTAATTATTTTCTCATGCTATGAAATCATGTATAGCTGGAAGAGTTGGGAGGCAATGGAGTGGGGATTGCAGCTGAAGGCTGGCTCAGTGCACCTTGTGATTTATGGGGGCAAATTCATCTTTTTCAGCAATTAGCAGGAGATTGGGAAAGTAATCTTAACTTATTTCCTTTTCAAAATTTCCTGTATGGAAAGGGCTGAAGAGCGTATTGACCTACTGAGGGCTGAAATTGCTCCAGACTGCCCATCGCACCCCCTTTCTGTAGAGGCTTATTACTGGTCCTGCAGGGAGAGGCAGGAGCTGCAGCTCGGTGTGATGGAAATGCCTCCTTGGAGGCAGAGCAAGGGGTCCTGGAAAGCACTGCTCCTCACGACTTGTTTTCCCATGTTCCTGGTGGCCTTTCTTACCTGCAGGACCTTTCAGGTGCTATTTTTCAGCTCCACAGCCCTGTGCATGCTCCTCGCCTCTCTCCCATGCCGTATTTTGGGAGGGCTGTGCCACTCGATCGACAAAAGCCCCTGCATTTCAGTCCCTTTGGGTTTATTACTGAATTCTGACCGGGGATCAGGCAGGCCCGTGCTGCCTGAGCAGGAATGATCGGGATGAGCGAGGCCCCAGCTTTGGCATGTGCTATTTGGGGCTGGGAGGAAGGCGTGGGCTCCTCTCCACCTGCCCTCCCCAGCGCGGCTCTGCTCCGGCCAAAGCCTCGCCGGGGCCCAGGGGCTGCCTTGGCCCGAGCGTGTGGCCCACACTGTGGAAAGCTTCCCTCAAGCAGGGGGAATGTGAGAAAGCAGCAAGTGGCCTGCTGATCCTGGAGGGATGGATCAGTGGTGGTGGGCTGGGAGCCCATCGGAGGCCAACCACAAACCTTGTGCCATTTGCTCGGTGTTGAAAGCGTTTGCGCTTTTACCTTGTGCTCCTTTTTGGCCTCTTGGTCTCCTAACCTAACACAGGTTCTTCTGTTTCATAGCAAGGCTTTTTCTCTTGCTCTCACCCTCGTATTTGTGTGGAGAGCCGACATTCGCCACTCCTGTTTGGAATATAGTATGAGAATTGCTAGTCTCAAAAAAAAAAAAAGAAAAACTTGATTTAAAAATGATTGTTTTGGCAAGAGGGCTGTTCCTTACCCTTTGATTTACTGAAATCAGAGGAAGATGGAGGTGAAAGGGGCAAGGCAAGCCATGGCCTAAAACCCAGCGGAGAGTAAATGACGTGGGTTTTACTCCTTTAAAAAGAAAAAAAGAAAAAATTGTTTGTGTTCAGACAGTAAGTGGAGAAAACAAGGGTTGGATTTCAGCTCAGATGGATTCTTGGAATTAATCCATAGCTCTCGCTTACAACAGCTTTGACTTCAGTGTGGTAAGTTGGGCTGACCGGAGGAGGGTTGAGCAATGTCTTACTGGTAAGCAGGAAGGAGGACGTCCTGCGGAGCCATGTAACGTGGTGCGCAGGGGAGCATCCCGACATGTGAGAAAGCGAAACGTGACTTGTTTTTTCTCAGGGTGTTTTTAATGCTTTCTTAAGGCCAGCTTATTCCTAAACAATTTTTTTTTTGTGCTTGTTTCTTGAAAACTAAACTTGGCAGTATGTGTTGAGCTGGCTTCTTTGCTAAAACACTGCTCTACAGCCTTCCCCTCCGAAAATACAAAGGTGCAAACACCTCTCCCTCTCCCACTATGGGGGACTAAAGCTCAACATCTGTTGACTGTAGTCCCGTAGTTAAGACTGCAGTGAAATCTAGAGCAGAATATTTAAGTGAACTCTCATCCAGTGGTTGAAGTATTAGTTATCTCCAGTTTCAGATGCCACACATTCACATTCAGTGTCTGAAATACACAGCATGACCTCCAGGTCATGTGTGTTATTTATAAAAACAAATGAAAATGGGTTCCCTGACAATGTGTGTGTGTTTTGTATGCAACAAAATAAAGATGTGCTTAGAAAGACTATAAAACTCAAACAAATAAATGTTAGTTGCAAAACATACCTGGGACATGGTGTTCTTTGCTATGGAAAATTGATATCAGTAAAACCAGACAACTGCAGTCAACGCGGTGCCTGCCTTGTTGCACTAATTATTGAAGTAAATATTGCTGTGATAAAATTGCAGTCAGTGGAGTAAAATCTATTATTTCAAATTATAACTTCATTAATAATGCACCATCTGTTCAGTATATCAGTGACGGATCTCCTGAATTCCGGTTTCCTTTCCAGAAGGAATCGTAGCCGGGATCCCCGGCAGCACACGCGCCCTACGAGACAGTAGCCGAAACTGCTCCACTGCAGTAAGAAGGTGAGTAAGAAGAACTCGACCCTTGTGAAATTTGCAGTATTGTTTCATTATGAATTTACCTTCCACTGATAGTTGATTTTTACCTGCTGCAGTGGGGAAATGCCGCAGCAGATAATGCTGTTGTGGTGTTTGCCCAGCTACGTTAGCTCTTCCAAGGTGCTCTTCTGATTTGACCCTCCGTGCTCCTGCCTGTCTGAGACAAAGGCTGGTGATTACTCGCTGCCCACGTGGAGCAACATTCTGCTCGTTATGTAACAGTAATCCACCTCCTTAATTATGGAAGAAGATCTACAGATTCCAAAGAAGACATTTCCCTCTTAGTCAGAAGGCGTGAGGTGTGTGTGGGAGCCTTTGTTCTTTTTGGGAGCCAAGGGAAGCAGCAGGCTTTAACTGCTGTAGCTGGATGATGAAGTTCAGTTTCCTTTTTTATCTAGCCTTTGCTGGAACATATGTGTGTGTTAACCAGCAGCAGATGAACAGGAGATAACTGCAAATGATGGTTTTTTCATTCTGTATAATAGCAGTTCTGCTCTGTGCTGGAATATTAGATGCTGCAGATACCCTGTCTTCTCCCAGCCCTCTAAGCAGAGTGGTCAAGGGTAGAGGCAGGAGGTTCAACACATGATTTAAGGTGTGTGCCTCACTGGCCCTGTGCTGTTTTCTCTCACCTTTGGCTTCACATTGATCCCCCAGAAGCTGTTACTTTCTGGAAGTATGTGACAACCATAACGATTTTTGTCAATTCTGCTGAGGACAGCTCTTGCAAATCACCTCGTATTCCGTTAAAATTATTAACTCATCAGTTCCAATTTTCTCTGTATAAATAATCAACACTAGAACATTGTCTGGTAGTGCTGACTAACAAATCCTGTAATTAGTAATCTCCAGTTAATGAAGCAGCATGGTGATTAAAGCCTCATGACTTTTCTATGGAAGAAATAAGTTAAATATCAGTTGCGCTGTTTTAAATTGCCCTAGAGGTTTGTGTGATCTCAGAGCACAGAATAAATCAATAGTACTGTTCTGAAAGTTTTAGACTAGTTTTTCCATCTTGTTGGTATTTTCCCTGTATGCCCCCAAATACAAGATTTAAATTTGATTTAAACTGGAATGATGCCTGTAGCTATAGTTCACCTGCTGGTAAGCCTCACTGCGTAAAAGATGGGCCACGTTGGACAAGTAAACTTCAGTGTGCTTGAAGGAAGTGACGGTGAGATCAAGCGTGGTGTTTTGGTCTGCACTTGCTAGATACAGCATTTCACCAGTATTTCCACCGCTTCTTTTTCCAAAATAGTTTCTGCAGTTTTTCACACAACCTTGTCACCACGTATCTTTTTCTGCCGAGGTCTCAAACCTCGTCTGCCGTACGGATGGCAGATCTGTGGCACCACGTGTGACACGATGCAGTTGGGTCTAACTACATCCCATTTGTCTGTCATTGCCCTGCTGGTCACCAGATGCTGACTTTTAAGTGCAGCTGCTTCTATGTAATACTTTTTAGTAGGCTTTAAAGAAATTATATCTGTTGCTGATTGGAACACTCAGTAGCTCGAAATTTCACAGGGGATACGGATTGTGGTACATGAGTGTTGGTGTCCCCTTTCTCTGGTCACCTCCATCTCCATAGCGTAATGCCTGGCATGAGTGCTTTCCGTGGAGCCTCAAAAGTCTCTTCGTGCATCAGCAGTCCTTTTGTGAAATCCTATATTTCCTGTCCCATGTGTGAAATACCAGCAAGGTAAAGGAACTTAAGCTTGGTGAGATGATAAAACCCATAGCTGAGAATAGAGTATCTTGCTCACATAGTTCTGTTGTCCTAGAGATGGATTATCTTTAGATCAAGGGTGCTGTATTTCAAAGAGGAGGAGGAACACTGCTTGCTTCTGTTAGTGCACCCGTTGGAATCGAAGGAGCTGGAGGCTGAGCGCGTGTTTCAAACCTCCCTGGTTTGGGGAGGCGTGTGACATCCCTGCTGGGGTTTTGGGGAGAAGCAGGTCAGGTGGATGCTGCTTTGGGGCAGGAGGAGAAGTTGGTCAGATGACAAACCATTGCTGGTGTGCTGCAGTCACTCTGAAGAGTTGAGATCTGTGTGACTGCAAAGCCAGTGGTTCCGTGTCTGTGTGTGTCACAGCAAGGCTTTGAGAGGTGGAAACGGTGGTTAAATACACAGCTTAGAGCCTTTCGGGTATCGTATCTTCTAAAATCCAGTTTGGTGGGAAAAAACTGCATCTGGATTAACTGCCTGCAGTGAGCTGGTCTGAACTGCAGAGGTCTCTGTTAAGCCACCTAAGCCTTTGGAGTATTTTAAATTTGAAAGCTGCTATGCTGAGGCCTTTTAATATTAAATAGTGTATATGCATTTTAATCAAAGAGGCTGTCACACTACTCTATTGCTTGAATTGCAGATACGGCTAGCAGTGCAGTCCAGCCAGCACAGTGGAGCGAGGCACTTCAGGGGACACGAGTCCTTGCAGGTCTCCCCGGAGCACTCGGAATAGTCAGTTTAGGCTTTGCAAGGAGGAGGATGGCTTTTCTTGCTGCTCTGAGCGCTGAGCCTAGCTCCTCAGAGCAGTCCTGATCCCGAGATACCTACAAAAAGCGAGGTTTCTGCTGCCTCGCCATCCCAGCGGTGGGTGTCGGCAGATGGCAGCACCCTGCCCTGCGCCGGGTGTTATTTCTGGCCAGGAGATTCCTCAGTCCCCTGGATTCAACACCACAGTCTAGACTTACTGACAGACAGGATTTTTCTCCTGTTAGGTAAGCAAGATGTAGACGCCCATTATGCAGATTCCCAGCCATAGTGTCCCTCTGTAACATTTTTCAAATTGTCTAAATAAGGTACTGTTTCATACAAAAATTTGTAGCAAGGCTTTTGGGTAGCTTTCAGCTGCCTTGCCCTCTAGGCATGATTTTTCTCCTTGAAGATAGCTAATCAGCCCAGCCTGGGTGCTTTTTGCACTTAGCAGCTGCCCAGAAGTGGAACAGTAGGAAGAGGCAGGCTGCATGAAGAGCTAATGCTGTTCAAATAAGGAACTTAATGGCCAGTAGCTTTTGTCCCTCTCACTGCAGGGTTGTCCATGCAGGCTTCTACCTGGATTCTATTAAATAAAACATTATTACACAGACTTAACAGGCATTTTTTGGTTTCTGAGCACTGTGAGTGTGCATCCCAGGGAAGAGAAGGGTTAGAGGGTACAGTGGCCCAGTGCCTTTCCCCATCAGGCTGTCAGATCTGGACAGAGCTGTTGCCCTGTTCAGTGGCTCGTGTGACTCATGCCCTTCGTGTCCCAGGCTGAAGGAGGTGGGAATTGATCACAACTGATTGTCCAAGGTGGCTAGAAATGTCTGTGGCATTTTTACTCTTTCTTTTTTAACACAGAAATTAAATGAGCCTCTCAGTCAGGTCTGATGACTACTAACTTATTCTTGCAGCTGTAGACGAGAGAGACACTTGTCATGTACTTGTTATATCAGCACTAATTTCTGAGCACTTAATATTTCTTCAGATGTTTTATAATGTGGATCTGTAACTAATATCGGTGCTTCAGCCCCCGGTCTGAAGTTGCTTTAGACTCTTCAAGCCTCAGAGCACACAGTTTGACACAAATAGCTGGGAAGAGATGACTGGAGGCTTAATAAGATGCTTGTTGGGTCAGTATCTGGCAGCCAACCAACAAGGCAGATTTTCAAACTGCTGTTAGTACAGCATGGTGATCACATCTCTTCTCAAGAAAACATTGGAAAGCTTCCTAATCTTAAATTCACTGAGCAGGCACGTGATTTTCTGGGAATTAGCTTGAATGCACTGCAGAATGGTTCATAAATACCTACATGGCCTAATATTAGATAATGGAAAAACAAGTACAGTGGAGTTTTTTGTCAGTTTTCTTCATGGTGGCCCTTCAGCCGGCCCTGGTGGCCTCTCTATTTATACCAGCAGCTGCCAGCTTTGATGTTTCTAGTCCTTACCCAAAAGAGAAAAAAGTCTGTATTTCTTAAGTTGCAATGTTACTCCTGTTTTACTGAGTATTATTTGTTTTGGGGCATAGTTAATTCTTTAAAGATTTTTTTTTTTTAAGCTGTTTTGAGGGGAAACAGTAACACACTGTACCCTGTGGTGTCTGTAAAGCTGTAGTGTTCAAGCTGATGTTGATAGCCAGGAGAAAGACTTTGTCCTTTGCCCTTGCAGTGAGGGGTGGGACTCTCCCCATCATGCGGGCTGTGATCTCGTGCCTTCCTGGGTGGGAAGGCTGTCCTTCAGCCTCCTCCTGCACTAAGGTGCCCTGAAATGTGCTCTGCGAGTTAACGCCTTATTGCAGCCCCCAATTACTGCTGATGACTCGCGGTACGCTGTTTCATCTGCAGCTTCCCAACACATCCGTGCTCTTGCTGACTTGCATGAGTTAAAACGTCTGCCTGCTTCCAGCAGCATTATATAAACCATCTCCAGCTCGCCTTCTCATTTTGAAAGTGTATTTTAACATTTCTGCTCTAAGATCTGAGATAATGAAGGGGGTGAGCGTTGCTGAGTCAGTTCTTACTGGCTCTGGTTTTTGTCCTTCCTGCCCTCCCACATGCTCCACCTGCGCACCGAGCTAACCTTCAGCAGCGACAGCCCCCATGGGTTTTCCTCCAAACAGCTAGCAGTAAACAGAGCCTGGTTTCCTATTTTCTTGCGCCTTGGCCCGAGATAACAATTGGGGTTTTTTGGAAGAGCTGTGGCTGAGGAGCATTGGAGATCTGGGAAGGAAAAAGGGGGTCCCCGAAGTTCAGGCAAGCCAGTGCTCTGTCCTGCCTTTGCCAAACTGGCAAACAGCCAGGATAATTAAATCAGCCTTCCGTTTGACACACCTAAACTCTAGGTAAACATGAACATATCCTTATGGCTGTTGTCAGCTGCAGAGCTGGGGTTTCATTGTTTGACAGTATTGTATGCAACCCGGCGGTGCTCGATGTTGTCATCTGCTGGCCCAGGAGCTGACGGAGTTTGTCACACATGA